AGTGACATTTTTGCATTTATTCCCTAAACTAAAATATAATATGTTTGTTGATGATTAAACTAAAATTCAATAGTTTTTGTTATTCTATATGACGCAATGTATTATATATATATATAATAAATGTTATATCGAAATTCTTTCATAATTTCTTAAATTTTTTTAAAAAGGAGATGGGTCAATTTGTAAAATTTAAAGATAAAGTATATATATATATATTATAATTATTAATGAAATAAAAAAAATACTTAAAATATTATTTTTGGTATAAAAAATGATGTAATATGTTGAAGTAAAACTTTGGTGTTACATAATTTTGATGTAAAAAATGGTGTGATGCATTAGAAATGTTCTTAAACAACTTTTTTTTTGGTTTAGAAACTTAGTGTTCATCGACTTAATAGCAACTACTAATTAGCTTTACTTGACCCGATAAATATTTTCATGACAGATTTGGTTTGTAAGTGGTATCCATATCGATCTTTCCTTATATTACGAAGATTTATATCAGTTTGATTGCAAAAATTATGTTTCTATGCAGTTTGTCTCCAATCTTTTCAGCTTAGTTACTAAACCTTAAAAAATATGCAAAATGTCTACCATAAGAGTAAGTTATAATTTCTTTATTTCCCGTAAAAATAAGACACTAAACGAATGTAAAAAAAAAAAGTCTGCAACGGAGTGCGGGTACTTCATTATAAAATTTTGTTACGTGGGACGAGAAGGATATGTTGATTGTTAGAGTTTTGTTACTTTGTAACATGTTGCAGAAAACTAGTCTCGGTACCATTTAATGAAAGATCTTCAACCTAAAAAATAAAGAACAAGATCCTCTATAAACTTATAAAACAGTCGAAAAATGGAAAAATATGATATTAACTAACGATTTTGAGATCGTTTGATATCAGATGAAAGATAAGTAAACCCAAATTGTTGTATAGAGATCTGGAGAAAAAGAAATCACATGAAAGTTACTACACAAAACGCACAGATACGCAAACGAAATCATTGGAAGGCATGTATTTATCGACCATCCCATCAAGCCCGCTCAAAAACCTCCAACGATTGGGCTTCTAATATTGCTGTAATTACTTCACTGGATACGCAGAAACTTACACGTTTTTTTT